CGTGAGCGGCGTTCCGATGATCGCGTGGCCGCTCTTCGCCGAGCAGATGATGAACGCTGCCCTGCTGGAAGATGAGCTCTGCGTAGCCGTCCGATCTGAGAAGCTACCATCGGACGGCGTGATTTCAAGGACGGAGATCGAAGCGATGGTGATGAAAGTGATGGTGGAGGAAGGAGGGCATGAGATGCGGAGGAGGGTGAAGGATCTCATGAACACGGCGGCTAACTCGCTGAGCTATGACGGCGGGTCGGCGCGTGACTCGCTTTCTAAACTCGCCAAAGAGTGCGAACTTCATTTGGACCGTGTCACTGACATGGCACGTGGTGCTTAGCGATTGGCTGTTGTTGTACGGTTCTGTGTTGTTTTTAGCCGGTAAGTGGGTCGGATCAGTGGGATATTGTCGTAACCGTGAACTGATTAAGTAAATAACCGGTTGTGGTGGTTACGGTATCATGTCCTGGCTGTTATTATCTATGTAATGTTTCAGTTGTATGCTTTTGCATGTTTATTATTTTTCTCGTGATTTTATGCGATGGAAATAATAACAATGTTTTATCATATGATATTATCATTGTGTTAGACATAAATTCCACACAGATCAAATAATTGTCCAAGCATTTTTTTTTATTGCAAAACACATTGTAATTCAGAATTAATACAAAAAAAAATATTCGAATTAAATGGGTAAACATAGTACAACAAATGTATTGTCACATTGTCAAAATAATTATCGCTATTCAATGCCCAAGAAAGAACATAGAAAGCCAACAACTTGGTCCATGATTTAGAAACGTATTATGCATTATTCTTGCTTCTCTAATTAAAATACTAATCGGTTGGGATGATAGTATCGAGCTTGAACAGTATTTTAATTTATTTTCCTCTTATTCATGATTTTATTATTCGAGATTCCCTAATCTCACGTATTGGTTGACCTTCTAGAAACTAAAGGGGGTGGAGTAGCTAAATTTTGTCTTATTTTCTTAAAAAAAAAATTTAAATCAAATTGTTTCCCTTTCGTTGAGGAATCTTGCATTCTATTGGAGAACACATTTCAATATAAAAAAAATAATGGTCCCATCCCTCAAGTGAGAGAGTTGATTTAAATTCGCATGGCACCGAGAGTACAATTAGGTGGCAAGTCTTTTATTTGGTTATGGAAGAAAATATATTGCTAGTTAAGAGTGAAATTAAGGGTGCACATAAAATTCGGGAGAGAAGTGATTAGCACATGATCTTATCCGATCAATCAATTGAAATTGGGATGAGACCAATAAAATCATTTAATGAAAATTTTCTTGTCATTTTTTTTTTCGTCCTCTAATGGATTGGAGTTCCTATGGCTTGTAATGATTTCAATCACCATTTAATCCACATACCAATGCAATTTTTTTTATCGGAACAAATGAAAAATATTCCCCCCGTTACCTTAATTGGGCTAATGGGCTTCTGTGTACACTGCATTAGGCCATCTTTAACCTAAACATAGAATTAGCCCAATATATAAGATAGCCCAATACACCGCTTTGTTTTGGGCCCATGTACCATTTTTAATTTTGGCAGAATGTGTTCGTTATCTCTATATCTGTGAACAAAATCGAACCAACAATATGTAAAATCTCAAATGAAATCATGCCGTAGATCAACAAAATATCAATGTAAATACCCCATTAACGTTTACATGAAAACCAGAGTTATTAATTAATGTGTGTGGTGAAGATATTTCATGTGATAACAATTAAAATCAAAACTGCAAAAACAATTCCTTGCTATCGTTACTTTATAGTGTCCTTGGATCCAAGACAGCTACGTTTATTCCGACAGAGTCCTTTGGCGCTAAAGACAAATCTCGCCGCCACAGCACGACACTTGTTTCAAGTTAATTTGCAAGGATATTCAATACGGTTCATTTAAACATAATTTATAATGATCATTAGCTGTTATCATGTGCTTGCTTAAAGCCGGTTTATATCTGTGGGAGACGACAGCTTGGAATCGTATGAACACAACCGATCGAACCGGGCCGTGGGGACTCCACGTGACCCATTTGTCATCCATGAATTTGTGTACGGTTTGTATGCTTATTATAAGAGTACATGATGGGGTTTTGTTTATAATTAACGTCTAAAACAATTAATTAGACATTAAATAATATTAAATGACCATGATGTATATAACTTTGGTTGTCGGGGAGGTTTTATGTGTCAACTTTATGGAAAGCGACAAGGTTTCAAAAGTGTTTGGGGTTACAAGGGAAATAATAAAATATGATATAGTATGATTTAATTATGTGTGTTTCTGTAAGAATATACGTGTTCGTTCTTTTCCCTTTCGTATTATTTATACGAATATATATATATATATATATATACATATGTATATATATTACATCGTTTGTTTTTTCAAGATTAACAAAAACAACATAAGAGAAGTCCAGAAATAGCCATACCTAGAACAAATCTGAAACTAGACTAGTGGTTGATTGAATATTATGATTAACGCTAAGAGGACCATGATATGGATATTATATTATTATTTGGCCGAGTCAAATATCCACCTAGACCTTCGGGGATTTAATCCGATTTCAGATTTCGGATTAAGTCATATTTTGATCCCCAAATCAAGGCGTAATTTCGGGGCTACAGCTCGTGATTCAATGCAGATATATATAAACACTACGCGTATAATCATAACTATTGTTTTTTAAAATCGTATCGTACAATGGGAAAGGGGAGAGGAATCAGAATCGGTTAATTACTGCTAATCTTGAAGATCGGGGATCAAGTTTATTGTTAATAATTAGTGGACAACCCACGCAAGTGATATAATAATTTAAAAGCATAATAAACTTAATAAATGGGTAGCTTTAATTTTGATTAATCAAAATCAAAATCGTATGGAATCTTGCTTCCAATAATCTATCTGTTAAACGGAGTTGGAGTACGGGAAACAAGGGAGGCAAATGTCGGGATAAACATGACATATCGTTTTTTAATCATTTTTTCTTTAATTTAATTAGGATTATTTTAGTCCCAAAGTAATAAACAGTTTTCATTATTATGGATTAAAATATCGAATAAATATACATCACAACTCAAAAGCATATTTTCCAAAGAATAAAGGAATCTACCCTCCGCCATGCGCATCTTATTTGAATTGGTGGTTGGTGGCTCACGGACCAATCCTAGTGTTACTGAAATAAAATACATAACAAGGAGTGGAAATACGTATTACAAGAGCAACGTAGTCTAGATTTCAATACATGGATTGTATATTCGATTTTGCTATAGACACATTTCAAAATGAATTAAAAATCGTCCAATCTTATAAGGAAATACACCCACATCTAATTTCTATACAAACTCGAGCCTTTTGTAATTATCAATAGAAACTAATAAAAATAAACACATACATACATACATATACATATGTATATAATCGGTTTAATCCTTATCCTTAACCTAGTTATCACCTTTGTCTTTTGTCTCGAAACCGGAATTAACCTGTGTGGCAAACAAACGTACGCAACCACAAATTCTTATCCACATATACTTCATATAGAACTATAGGCTAAAGTCGGACTAATTAATCAATTAATGCGCAAGCCTCAATTGAATAAATAATGTTAATCACTCGATCGTCTACCAAAAATATCATCGCTTAATTGGTAAGAAAAAGCCAAGATGGCGACTGTATATTCTTTTCATTTGTTTTATATAATAAACAGAAAATAATAGATGCTTTTCAAGAGATCGGAAAATTTTATTTAACAGTATGATAACGCACATTATAAATCCATTGATATTTGCATATACGTACTGGTCCATTTTTTTTTTTGTATTAATGTGGAATTTTATTGCAAAAGAATGAGTTCTTTATATTTTAGAAGAAAATAATAGACGTTTCAACTGGATATATAACAAAAATAACTTTTGTTAAGAATATACTCCCTCCGTTTCACAATACTTGGAAGTTTTATTTATTTTTTTTTCACATTTTTTAAGAAAACAATAAAAAGTCATATATACCCTTTATTAATATAAAGATTGATGTTATCATTAATAATCTATTGTTTTGAAAAACTCAAGTTTTTATTAAGAATAAAATTAGAAATTATTTTAAAAAATTGTTTTGAAAATCTAAAATGACAATTATTTAAAAACAGAAAAAAACTATCTAAAAATCAAATATTATGAAATGGAGAGAATAATAGTCATTATTTTATTCCATAGGAATAACCTTTTTACTATATATTTTAACGGTGGAGTGTAAGATATAAGAGATCCAAACCAGGTTAAAATGGGATAAATAAAATAATGTTAAATATAATATGAAAAATGTTTGATAGAAAATTATCAAAGGGAAATTAAGTCAACATAGAAAATGGCGGGACCAAGGAGAGGAGTCCCGAACGAAGATTGGATGACACGTGGAAGAAAGCAAAGAGTGGTCCCAGGGATGTGCTTATCGGGGGAACGACACGTGGACAAGCAAATTGTTTCACCCCACGTGAGTTTTGATCATCGCATCACATCCGTGGGAACCTTTCTTAGTCACCCTCATCCCTTTCTCGTCCAAATTTTTATTGGTCTGCGAAAAAAAAAAGGGTTATATATCCAACGCACAATTTCAAGTCAAATAATAAGATGGACTTTATTTGAATATATTTTTACAAATACAAATGTTGTTATCTTTGAAGGGTTTTAATTTGCAAAACCATACCATATGACACGGAAACAAAAGTCACACGAGTTCATCGAGAAGAGAGAGCAATTTCAACACTTGAGTTTCAGTTTGTTATTATGGGGACAAAATGATGAAGGGCCACGGGACAATTTACCCACAACTAGAGAAAAAAAAGGACTTCTGCTGAGTTGTGTCCACAAAGGTATCTGACGCATTTGTTTTTTTTCCTCCCCCTAATATTTATCCGTAGGCGTGAAAGTTGGGTAGGGACATGCATGCAACTGCAAAACACTCGCTGTTTCATCCCCTGATTGGATGCCGAGAAAATTTCACCCACTATACCGAGAAAACGATAGAAAAAAATGGTTAAAACGATAAGAGAAAGTGGTTGAATGCGTACGTACTGATATCTCTGTCCCTCGGACATTTCCCGGTAGAAAATGGGTTTACGTGGAAGACTTGTTGCTATTGAATCCTCCTTTTTGTTTTGTTTTGGAAATATCTGTTCTGTAAGGACGGGATAAGGTCGCGAGACGTGCGGTGGGTCTGCGTTAGTTCTTGTTCCCAATCGAGTGTCTCTGAGGAAAGATGGCGCTCCAGTGTGGGAGGCTGCTCGTGAGACTCACGTGCCCAGCCGTCATTCAATGTCGGAAATAGTGCGCCATGTCTGCCTTTTTTGTCGTATGAGTCGAGGTCGTTCCCTCCTCTGTAATTCCGGAAACACACATTCATCTTTCGCCTTCCCAAATCTGATAGGCGTCGCTGTTTTTCTTAATAATTTTGTACCACGAACGTTTGAAATTTTCTTGATTATACATGAACACGATCGAATCTTGTAATATGCATGTATACATATAGGAATCGACTCGTGTATAATATATGTATATATATATTGGAGCAAGATCGAGAAGAACTTGCAGCAACCCGAAATCAGTTACAAAAATACTCTGAAACGTAGGATTAATGGGTCGGTGGTGGTTTATCCTCCCTCTTTCTTTATTTAATATTTCCGTGTTCTTGTCATGTTATTCGTGCATGTGAAAGAAAGTTTCACGAATTAATTTTTAAACATATGATGTACAATAAAACCGGAAGAGGAGTAAAGATCTTGTTCCGCTTATGTTTCTGAACATTTTTTCCCTAAAAGATGAGACTATTTTTTTTTATGTCTTTTATTAGCATTTATTGGGAGACCTACTATCAATATATATATATATATATATATATATATATATATAGAGAGAGAGAGAGAGAGAGAGCATGCGCGGCGCAGAAGAACGTGGATGACGAGTACTTGACCGAGTTGGTCCGAGTCTCGTCTGACTCGTCCGGGATCGGCGAGTTCTGGGAGTTCGACGATGTGATCCCTTGTTACGACTCGTTCGACCTGAGGGTCGGTGAGGGTTTCAGCGTAGACTACGTGCCGTTGGACGACTTGTTCGAATATTCCGATGCGTGTTTAGACCCGTCCGGTGTTTTGCGGTGAGGATACTACGTTCGTTCGCATAAACCATAAAGTGAAGGGACAAAATTGTCTTTGGATGCCATCTCTTAGCCTGTCGTGCCCTGTGCCACGTGGCACATGGGATGCCTCATGACAATATATCTTATAGATCTCCGAGTTACTCGTTTTAATTATTCCAAAAAATAGTCTTATAAATAAAATAAATAACGATAATAACTACAATAAATAATCCACTATCAATATATATATATATATATATATATATATATATAGAGAGAGAGAGAGAGAGAGAGTAAAAAAACATGCTACGGCTGAATAATTACAGGGATAAACTAAAGAACCTTCCTGGGTAAATCACTGGTAAGAATTTTGAATTCTCGTCAATTTGCAGTAAAAAAGAAATATATTTAGAGAGAAGAAAGTTGATTAATTTCAAAGGGTCTCGAGCCACGGGACGAAGAAAAGCTATGGAAAAAGACATGGTCCGACAGCGACTGCAAAATTCCATCGCGACATTTGCTCTCACTTCTTCCTCTTCCTGCTATTTATTTATGTTCATTTTGCTTTCTCCTTCTTTAAAATTTCACTTTGTTTACTAACTTTTATGCGGCTTGTGTTGGGGATCCACAACAATCTTATCCAAATTTCACCCACCTTATTATTTCCCGGAATTCTCCTTCTAATAAACCTCTGACATTGATTTCGCCAATAATTTATTTACTGTCCACCGAATGTCAATAACATCTTAAATAAATTTAAAAAAAAAATCAAATTACCCCATCAATTTTAAATACAAATCCATGAGGTGTTTCTTTGCTTTGGTTGTGAAATCTATCCGAGATCATCCTCATCAAACACTTATGGTTCTATACTCTTAAGATTTTCTAGCTTCATTATCTACATCCTTAAGCAATATATATATACACACACACACACACACCATGCCTTTGGGATGAGTATATGTTTTATATAAACTCCCATGGATTGATATATACACAAAACCTAACCGGAAAACAAAGTTTGCGTCATAAGTATAATTAATGTTGCTATGGTTGTAGTTGTAGTTAGGTTTCCAACATGTACATGCTATGAAACAATGATCTCAATTTATGATTCGTTTATTTATATATATATATATTTTAAAAAAAGCTGTTCATCACATACTTTAGTAAATAACCATGAATAGTACGGTATAACAATTTTGAAATAATCCTAAGGAGATTATTTAGGTTTAGCATATTTTATTTATTTAAATATAATAATCAATTTACAAATTATGGGGCCACAACGACAACTCTCCATGCTTATAAAACCCTCCTTAGCCTCCAAGGTCCTTCTCATCCACACGCTTCCTACAAAATCCTCCAAAAAAAACACACACACACACTCACACTCATTCCATCATCATATTCACAAAGCAACAGAAAGATTGAAAAAAACTCAAAACACTGTCTGAAAACGAGATCAGAGAGAGAGAGAGAGGTAAAAATGGATACTCATCAAAAGATGGAGGAGCACTTGATGTTTGTGTCTCACTTGTACCCTTCAGGCCCCTGCATCCAAACGCCCCCTTTGCAAGGTATACATATATATTTATATATATACTCTATGTGTATATGTCAGAGTGTGTGTGTATATATATATAGAAAGACGTCTCAGTTGTTATGTGAAAATCAGGTGAGGCGAAACCGCCGGCGAGAAGGAGGAGGAGGAGGAACAGAGGGTCGGCGCCATCACCGGCGGAGGAGATGGAGATGGGGATGGGAGCGAGGAAGAGGAAGCTGAACGAGGAGCAAGCCAACCTGCTCGAACTCAGCTTCGGGAGCGAGCACAAGCTGGAGTCGGAGAGGAAAGAGAGGCTGGCCTCCGAGCTGGGGCTGGACCCGAGACAGGTCGCTGTCTGGTTTCAGAACCGCAGGGCTCGTTGGAAGACCAAGAAGCTCGAGGAAGAGTTCTCCAAACTCAAGTCTCTCCATGACGACGTTGTCCTTCAGAAATGCCACCTCGAGTCTCAGGTACTTCTTCTTCTCTTCATTTCACCACAGTTTTATTTATTTATTTATTTATATATTCGGAGATCATTTCTGTTTCTGGTATTTATATTTTTGTGACGTATAAATAATTTACTTGATTAAATATATGTGTCTGATGCAGTAAAGAGCAAATTTCCTCAATTAAATATTCAATCCCGTGGGCTTAGGTGCTCCATCACTGACTGGTTTTAAGGGCTAAATATATTTTATATATTTTTGTTTTTTTATAACAAAAAGAACAATGGGCCCACGAATATTTGAAAGCTGAAAGCCCTGGGCTCAAAAAAACTCGATGTAAACACAAAGGCAGAACTAATAAATTGTGACAAAAAAACTGACATACAAATTAATAATAATAACAGGGAAACAAAATTCTATAACCTTGCAGACATAAAAATATCTGAAATAGGATAATCTGTGCAAGTTCAAAAAATTAACCGTAAAAAATTTTGTTTGCGAGTGCAACTTTTTATATCTTTTTTTTTTATAATCATCTACTAATAGAAATAAGTTTTATAATTTGATAAAAAAAAATTATTACAATGGCATTTGTAGGTAATTAAACTGAAAGAGCAACTGTCTGAAGCTGAAAAAGAGATTCGAAGATTCACGGAGAGGAGTGAAGGAGCGTCAGGCAACAACAGCTCGGCTTCATCTCTCTCATTCGAAGCCATCGATGTTCCATTCTTCGGAAATTTCGCACCAGAAACCGAATATGACATCAACCCATTCTACATTCAAAACATGGAATGGATTGACGGCCCTTATGTGTAATCTAACCATTAAAAGAAATGGTCGGGGAGGCGTAGATAGTGTATGTAAATGTGTGTCTGCATGCTTTTAACAACTTAATGAAAATTTTAGTGTTCCAAAACAATTTCCATATATGTGAGAAAAAAGGAAAACTTGTGTATAATTGCATCATTAAAGCACTAATCGTCATGAATAGATGCTAATTCACCCCACCTAGCGGATTGAGGAGATCAACGAAACCAAATCGAAACAGGCATGGATGATTCTACTCACGATTAAGATTTAGGACCTACATAATCCCACTATAACATAAAAAAAAAATATATTAGGGATCGATTATTCATGTTTCGGTTCAAATTCATTTATTTTGATTTTAAAAACATTATAATCATTCTTTTTTTCTTTTATATTGAATTTAGATTCGATTTCAGATTTTATTGATAATATTGAATTTTTTAAATTCGTGATCTTTTTATTCGCTTCGAACACTGTATTTTTAGTTTAAAAAAATATTTTTAAAACAAAAATTTTTATAAAAAATTCAATATTTTCAAAAAAAATATCATTAGGTTCGTCTTGAATTTTATTGATAATTTTTTTTTTTGAAAAAGTTATGGTTTTCGAATATTTTTTTATTTGAAAATCAAAATGCTAAAGCAGATCCCTAAACGGGCATATAAATTCTGAATTTCCGCAACATTTTCATCACAAACTAAGTTTTTTTTATATATATAGAACGGAAAAAAATGGAAATTGGCCCTTTTCAATTCAATACTTGAACAAAATCAGCCCATCGGTCAAAGTACCACCACATCTCCATAACATTCTCCGACCGTACAGGTTATATCATTTGTCCTACCGCCAGTTTTTAAGCAGTTATGTAAGAGATGACAACGGTAATGTCGTCGAGCTTTCCGCCATAATATCTGTATCCAGCCTCCTGAGCTGACGCAGAGAAGGGTGTTTGCCGGTTCCTATCCACTGCTCTCTGACGGGCCAATGCCGCCATCTTTTCAGCCGTGGATTTCGGGTCTAAGCCCGCTCTCACTGAACTCACCACCACTCCCGCTATCTCGTTGTTGTACAGATTGTCGAACAATCCGTCCGTCCCCGCCACGATTACATCCCCACTCTCCACAGGAATCGTAAAAACCTGAAAAATTTTCAACTTTGAATCAAACTTGGGGAAGCATTCGTGTCAGCATGGAAACTCCAAGGAAGATTTTCGATAGAGGTTGCCTATTATTCAGAACGGCGAGAGTTTGAACCGACCTGACCGGATGAAGGTATATCACCTCCATCTCCACTCTCGAGTTGATAGGTGAAGTTGAATCCATGCTGCTGAACTGGCGACTGAAACAGAGTGGTCCCTTCCCTAACCACCGTGAATCCGCTGTCCCCGAGATTAATCGCGTGTATTCCCTACGCAAGATACAACCACTATTGCATTAGCGAAGAAGACAATGTTCATATATAATGATGGTATGATTGCAATGCCAATGTGTAATAATTGCTCAAGTAAAAGCAATAAAACCTTGTCGGTCAAGGTGATGATGCAGGCTGTGGATGAGCCCTTTGCTCTGGTCTGAGAATGCGCCTTCTCTAAAACCATTAATGGATCAATGGAACCCTTGGCCTGCTCCTGAATTGCCGTTACTGAATAGGACATGAGTTCTCGTGCAAACAATCCGGCATTGACACCGACATCCGCCCAGCCGCCAACCCCATCTGCAACTCCGATGACTTGTTCTTCATCGCAGATAAAGTGAGCGTCTTCTCCACCTGTTTCTTCCTTCGCAGGATGCGGGAGATAACACGACCCCGAAAGAAGCTTCAGGGTTCTGCTCAGAATTAGGAATTCGGCCGTGAGAACCAACTTATAGCATGAGAAAGACAAAACCTAATGCTGTAATTCAACTTCACATCCTCATTTCTTCGGTAACCAAGAATGGTTCAATGGAATCTCAAGAAAAAGGTAGAGACTTTTCAAACAGTTTGCTCAGTTATATGCCTAAGCAAAGCAAAAGACTCGTTGGATCAAAGGAGAAACAGAGATTTTATAATCTCTACATGTTCCACCCGCTCTGTCTAGGGTTCTAAAAGAGTGACAGACAAAGAGTTTACCAATTCCAGCAGAGAGGAGAAACAGAACAAAGGGATTTGAGTAGACAACTTACTTTAAAGAGGAGGAAATAGGTGAATCTGTAAACTCTTCCTCTTGACAATCACCACCGAGTGACAATTCATGAGCTGGCCCTACCGAAAAACATACAGTGGACGATGTATGAGCACTCCTCAACATCTGACCGAAACCTGCACCTCTAAAGGAGCTCTTGTGGAGCTGATCAATGGTAGAATTCTGGCAAACGAATAGGCTCTTTGCTTGCTTTCTCTTGCCGATGCTCATGCAAGTAATACGAGCTGAAGGGTTAGTGAAGTCGAAGCCACTTGCGAATGGTATAACCAAGTCATCACAGTAAGCATCCCCAAAGAGAGGTAACGACCCAGAAGCAGCCATGGCTTGTCTCCTTCCAGGGCTTGGCCATGCTAGATGGAACAGGGAAGCATCGGATAACGAGCCAGTGGCATATCTCGAGAGATGAGACAGTCCAGAATTGGAAGAAAACAAGCTCCTTTCACCAGGTATGAGATTCTTCAGTATACAACGCCCAGCATAGCCAACGGGGTTTAACCTCGAGAAAGCAGTGGCTGACATCTCAACCCCTTGACGAAAAATTGAACGAAGATACATAAATTTCATAGCTTTGATCACGTCAATAACCAGTGACGTCAAACGCCAAGGAAAAAGGGATCAAATCTAATGAAACTAAACCCTGACCGACAATCAAAAGAAACGAATTGCTAACGGGAAACCGATAAGGTAAACGATGAAGGGGAAAAAAGGTCTTAAATTCGGATAAACAATGAAAAAATCGTGAAACCCAAACATTGCATCACATCAAATCTTTTGCAAAAAAAGACAAACAATTACCGGATAAACCTGGGCCCTATTTCTCGCGTCGTCTCCTCTCGTGCTTTCGCCCCCTCTATATGTACGTGTGGGAATTAGGCTTATGATTGAAGAAGTGAGCCCACGGGAGGAAGAGAAGAAGAAGAGAGGAGACGACAAATCTCCGGTTACTGAAATCGGAAAAATGCCCTTACCAGATCCAAATCTGCAGGCGATGGCTGTTCGGTAAATTTGGTAGCGAAGTCGGGCCAAAATCGGAAGTTGTCTAGTCCTAGTTATTTGGTACAGAAGAATTTCGGTTCCTTGGTTAAATCCCAGTAGAATCCTTCTCTCATGACCTGATAAAATTATAATTAAAATCATTTTCTCCTGATAAAATTATAATTATCTTTCTTTGCCCCTTTGAAGTTTCCAATTCCAAATTAAAGACTTTAAGATCTAATAATTAAATATAAATATTTTTGGGAAAATTTAGAATTTCGAACTCTAAATTTAGGGAAACTCTATTTATTGCAACACTGAAATAACCAAGTTTGTAAACATTACTGTTTTAACCCTTGTAACAGTACTCCATAGAAGAAGTAAAAAAGTTGTAACATTCAAAGTATTTACTTTGTCGTTCAGATATTTGTTACGTGATTGTTCATCATTAAATTAAAATTATAATTAGGGTATATGCTGATCGAGATAGATTAATATATGGGCCTTGGGCCTATACTGAACAAGTCTTGTGAGCCTGGGGGTATTGTTAGCTTTTTTATTTTAAAAAAAAAAGTTATGTTCGATATCATAGATTATAGATATACCATTGCACCGAAATGTATTATATATATTTTTGTAACAGGTGGACCCCTAAGCTTATTAAATTTAAGACAGTTTCCCACACGGTTCTCTCTTCCAGGCAAGTCGTGGAGATCTATTCGGACACCATATATCATTCATTCATCATCTCGTCTCATTTATTGCTTATCGAATTTTACAGTCACACACGCATTTTCCCCTTTGTTTTCTCCGTCGTCTTCTTCCTCTTCCTCAGTCCCCTTTGTACAAATGGTCATCTTTCCGCTCAAAACAAGCATATTATATAACATGTTCTTTACACATATTTATAAAAATTCGTGTTATAAAGTAGTTTATTTTCTTAACATAGTACAAGATATCGAGTCGAGACTGCCCAAGTTTGTAGTGTTTCACGTGTTATATTTTTATAATGCGTTTCAAAGATGACCGCCATCTAACCTTCTCCATAAAAAAATGGACTTAAACTGCATTCTCGTATTAAAAAAAAAAAAAAGAAACAATCTGAGTACAAGATTCAGATTATTACCACGAAACGAATTTAAATAATTTTTTTTTTCAAAGATGGAAGTTTCTTCGTTGCGAGAAACTGTATGTACTTCTTATGGAAAACCCACCAAAGGGCAAGAAACTAAAGCTAAAAACAAAGAGCCAGAGATCTAAAACCCATCTCTCCGACACACTACACTTACTGTATACTAAGGGTTTTTCTTCTACGTCCATCCGTCTTCTGTCCCTACGAGCTCCTACCCATGTCCTTGCCGGAAAACTCTCCCGCCCCAAACGAAGCTGTGACGTCTAAGCCGCCACCGCCTCCAATGGAGGTTATCAGAGCAGACAGTCCGCCACCTGGACTCCCACTTCCCCCAACCGCCCTTCCTAACCCCAGAAAGTCGAGTGTTGTCTGCTTCGGACCAAACACTGAGGAGTTTCCCATCATAAGCTCTTTCAAACCGGAGCCGTTGCCACCTCCGCAAGGCAGTCCCAGTCCGAGTCCAGGAGCCAGAGACGTGTCGTGGCTGCTGCTTAGTTCCATAGTCGACGAAGAAGATGGAACTATGCCTAACCCACGAAGCAATGAACCCCCTGAAGCCCCCATCTGGGCTGCTTTCTGAAGCAGAGCGGTGGCGGACATGGCTGGCTGAGCCGGAGGAGGAGGGTTCGGGAACTGAGCTGGGTCCTGCAGCGTAGACCCAAACAAGGATGACCCGTGATTCGTCGAGAGGCGTAGAGAGATGGGCTCGATTGGTCTGGATGGTGCGAAGAGACTGGGTGAAGCTGTCGAAGAAGCATATAGACTGGGAGTAGCTGTGGAAGACAAGAACAGGCCTGCGAACACACCATCACTGTTACCATCGTTGGTGTCTGGATCTGAGGCGGTGTTATTGCTGGCGATGGCATTTAAACCGATCGTCCTTGGAGCTTCCTGGATTGCTTCAGGAGGGTTTTCTGGTGATTCTGCGGCTAAGGAACCGTAAAAGACAAATATCAGAAGGGTCATGACATAAAGTTTGAGACTTTCCTTTAATAAATGTATGAACTTTAAAACTGGGGAAAAAGCAGACCCAATCACGCTTTTCATATCTTTGATTTCTTTATCATAAAGAATCAGCCATCGAATAAGAACGCTGGACATAATATTTTAACAGAGACATGCTTGTGAGAGAGGAAAAAACGCCGCTAACTGACAAAAGCTACAAAACTCCAAGAACGCTAATGACAGAGAACACATAACAGAAGTTCACTTGGCGTTCTTGATTTGGCTAAGCCGCGAAGAAACACTTCGTATCAGGACAAAACGCGGTCCAATTAGCCAAATTTTCCGAATTTGGAATTCAGGCGAAGAATGTTACCTGAACGCTGAATGGACAAGGGCATGACCTTAGCAGGCTTGGCATCCACCTGACCCGCAGCTGCCGCCGCCACGGAAGCTGGAGGTGGGGCCGGAGGAAGAGGCGGCGGCGGAGAATGAGCGGCGATTGGAGATTTCGGATCGGGCTCCAGATTTTTCCGGCTAGCCATTTCAGGATTCTGCTTCTTGCCATGGTTATGGTTTCTCGCGCTCTCTTCAGCCAAGGCGTCACAGAACGCTCTGTGCGTTATGAAGCTATCTCTCCTGCAAGAGAATCGAACGAAACACAGATGTTAAAAACCAAGAAGAATCTGAGAGTGGGGAGGGGCAACAAGGATCAAATTTGGTCATTATTTCGCAGCGAACCTGGAAAACAGAGTGCCGCAGTCGCATTTGTACTCCTTGGTGCCGCAAATCTTCGAGTGCGCCTTCCAGTCGGACTGAACGGCGTATTTCTTCGAACATTTCTCGCACTTCCACTTCTTCTCGCCGTGTTTCCGACAGAAGTGTTTCTTGATGCCGGTGAGATCGCCCAACGCGCGAGACGGGTCGTGGTGGACACAAGTGGGCTCCGGACAAACATAGACTTTCTTCTTCACCTCCTTGCTCGATCTCTGCCGGAGCTTCCATGGCAGATTGTGGCCGCGGCGGTGGAGCTGGAGATTCTGGTCACGCTGGAAACCCTTGTTGCAGATTTCGCAGACGAATCGGTTCGTCGCCAGTAGGGTTTTCGGCGACAGAGCTATGACTTCCGCGTCTGGATCTGAAACCCATTAACAGCAACAGAAATCAGAAAAAAAAAACCAAATTTATGTAAGAGAGAAAAAAACAAAATCAACAGAGAAAGTAGGGATTTTGGAGGTAACCAGGCATGCCGGGGAGGTTACGCTTCTTTTTTCCGGCGGATTTGGGAGGTGGGTTTTGATTTCCGGTGGATGAGACGCTTGCGTCGCCGGAAACTGTGGATGAGTTATCCAAATCGACCGGCATGTTTAAAGAAAAACAAAACCACCAAACTGAAAACTAGACAAAATTTGCCCCTTTTTCCCAAGCAAACACAGGAAAAAAAGTAAGACCAAAGGAAAGAGAGAAGTGAACAAATCTGGGTTCAACCCATAGACAAGAAAGACAAATTGCAGCCGATCAGATTTCTTCTGGGATTTATCGTCTTCTTCCTCATGCCCTCTTCTTCTTCTTTTACTAAATCTCTCTCTCTAAATCTATCCCCCTCGGAGTTCTTGAGCTACCAGTCAATCTGCTTTTCGTAAAACTTCTTTTAGCCCTTTTCGCACCTACCTTTTCTGATAAGCCTGTCTGACCCCCCCTCCCAAAAAGATTTAAGATTTAAAATTTCAAAACATCACAACTCCCGTAATAACCCATCAAAACCCAAAATCCCTCTCTTTCTCTCCGATCTCCGGTCACCGGCGATGGAATCTGATACTTCCGGCGTCCTGAGGAAAAAAAAAGAGATTTGGTTTCTTCTGCTAAAGAGACATGTGTGCAGAAATAAGGCGGCTCCCTCCCTATGCTTGGTGTGAAAGCTTTTTCTTCTCTTCTTCCGAGAGATATGACCTTCTCTCTCCAAACAATTGTTTTTTTTTCTGTGGACTGCTGTGATTTACTTTTCGAGTATGTATCTATCTGAAAATACGATTCCCGTATGCTCTCTTTTTTAAATCTATTTTTCGGCATATGTAGGATTTAAAGATAACATGTATGGACGTTAACGAAACGACGGTATAAAAAAACACCGAGGTCTGAACAGTTGGTTGCTCCACGGCAAAGATTTGTGTTCTTTTCTCCCCTAAACGACATTTGTGTTCATAGTAAAAGCGGAAGTTAATGATTTTCTCGTCCCATTTTCAATAATTTTTTTAATCCATAATTGTGTAATGGATTATTTGACCTTTGAAATCTCATTTCTTTTATGCATTTTGTATTTTATGCTTGGAATTTCGGATAACGTCGTTGATATTTCATCAAAATAATAGTGTAATTTTATTCCTTGCAATCTCTAGGCCGTGTATGCCGAACGGACCACACTAAGGTGCATTGGAATAAAAATAGATAAATTGAGATTTATTTAGCGGCTTCTTTTCCTTAAAAAAATCATCGGTCATGAATGTTTCAGATGAAATGTTCCGTAATAAGTTTATAGATATAATAACGACGAGATTACAGCGTGAAGAATAATATATATACAAAAATTTAACCAAGGACCCGTGACTGAGATTTGAGAATTATAGACGAAAAAGATGGAAGTGATTAATTTAATAGAAAAATATTAAAATAGATAAGCATGAAGTTTGGAGAAGGCGGGGGGGGGGGGGGGGGTTTCAACGTTACTGTCGTTTCCTTGTCCTTATCCGTTTTACATTACATTACCTTCCCGTTGTCGGACCAAAATGCTCCCTTGAAATTAAATTCCGATTTATTTGTCACTAATAACGCGGAATTTCAAAAAATAATTTTTTTAAAAAAAAAGTTACGGTGGAATTTGTCGTGTAGCGGAGTTTTCGAAGTCGAATTTTGTTTGTTCCGATTACATTAATTGCATGCGTTCGTCTGATTTGTTGACTTTGACTTTCTGCAGCCCTAAACTAACGTTTTTGTTGATCCGGATATTTTCATGTATTTTTTCTCTCTTAACTGCTATGGTTCCGCCACGTGTCATGTAGCGATGATTATGGCCGTTGGATCAACAACGATGATACCTTGTGTGGGAGAGGGGGGGGGGGAACAAACCAACTTGTGTGAGTTATTGTGAGAAAAAAAAAAGAATGATTTACATTAGATTTTTATAGAAAACGTAATGAAAGATAACGATGGCAATGCTCCTTTTATCAAAGACCAGCATTGACTTTGTAACATTATTTATTTATTTATTTATTTTTGTTTGGCCCCTTTTTATGACCCTTTTTTATTAGTTTCAAAAGCAATATTATTTTAGGCGTGTTATGGGCCCCACTCCTCTCCAGAACAACAATTTCGCCAGCTTATAAAATCCATCATCTGTGGCCCAGAAATAGTTTCAACCGCTATCCAATATTCATTCAAATCAAACTTATAATCATTTTTCCCCCCTTATTTTATATAACAAGATACTTATTTGTCTCGGTGCCTGCATATTTCACTGACGTTGACATATGAAAGCGCCGTAATATTATTCAAAATCTATAAAGAAATTTTATGTTATAATGTTTCGGAAAAAGTGATCGTCCAAAGCTTGCATTGCATGGCATGGACCTGGCGAGTCCAATTATTGCTTCGCCTCGCGCCGAGTATTAGGGCAATTATTGAAAGAGACAAGAGCTGATTCCGGTTTCATTGTCTTGTCCCCGTTGGAGTTATGTGACTTCCATCCATTTTCATTTACAAACCCAAAATTAATAATATCTGAATCCGTGTATCCATTGTTCATAGGTGTATTATATATCCATATTATTGAACTATTTCCGAAAATAAAAAAGCAGGTGTTGGGAATAAAATAACTACATTATACCCTAAAAAAATCGCGTTCAGAAACGATCGTAGAATTCCGAGCCGCTCCATGGACCATACAATAAATCCAAAAGCATTTATGAGCAGCAAACAATAGATTTTCTTGGCATTTATGGGTATATCCAAACCGGAGCACTTACGTATACATATCCAAGATGTCCCTTTTATATGAATATTAAAATTTTTAAAACAACTCTTTACGATCATAATTACTAATTGTTGCAATTTTGTATAATTTATAACTTTACTCGTTTATAGTAAATTAGAAATTCGATGACGTGACAGCATCCCAACTCATATAGACCGCCACCCACATATATATACACACACACATACATATACATTCATCTAAACGCAGATAGTTTGGAAACATGCGAGTTAGGCGAAGATGCATGTTAGAACCGTTAGATATTGAGGATGCAGTTTCTTGGGCCGGACCATATGGTATAGTAACCACGACATATCATTATTGTTCGAATCGTCAGTGCGTAAATACGAAGAACGATAAACGAATGGCCTCTCGGAAAAATAGAAAAAACAAAGCCTACAGAAAATGACAACCACATGTGTAGATCGAATTAAAATGCTAAAAATAGTCGATTAAGATTCAGAATTACTTGTTTTTTGTTGTTTTTTTTTTTGCTGAAAATGGTTGGATCCTTTTGTCAGGAATCTGGAGCCATCATCATCCTAATAGTAACGACACAAAACATCATGATACGGATGAGGAAACTGTGCCCGAACATAGACAAGGAAGATGGATTGGAGACAGTGTTGGAGGTTCCAATACCTGAGGAGATGTTCTCGAGTATGGGGACCAACGTGGCGTTGAGATGGCAGAACATGCTGACGTGGATGAAAGCTCAGACCTCCGACAAGTGGTCGCAGCCGCTGATCGCCGCCCGAATCAACGAGCTGCGGTTCCTCCTCTACCTCGTCGGCTCCCCTCTCATCCCTCTCCAGGTCCAGCTCGGCCATTCCCTTCACAAGCCCGTCAAAGACAACTCCATTGTGAGTCACACCACCCACCCACACATTGTACGTATATATGTATCTGTGTATATATGTAAACGTGTCTGTGTGATGATTTGGAACGCAGCAAGCGTCGACGGCGAAGTACATAGTGCAGCAGTACATAGCGGCGACGGGAGGGCAGGCGGCGATAAACGCGGTGAACAGCATGTGCGTGACCGGAGAGGTGAAGATGACGGCGTCGGAGTTTCACCAAGGCGATGACTCCGGCGCCAATCTCAAGAGCACCGACGAGATGGGTGGGTTCGTTCTATGGCAGAAAGATCCTGACCTCTGGTGTATGGAGCTCGTCGTCTCCGGTTGCAAGGTCGTCTCCGGTAGCAACGGCCGGCTTTCATGGCGTCACTCTTCGAACCAGCAGTCTCCTCCTTCCACCGGACCTCCCCGACCCCTCCGCCGCTTCTTACAGGTTTCTCAATCTCCACTTCTTCTCAACTCAACATCGTACCGATCGACGTCTTGACCGGGTTTGGCAAATTCTAGGGATTGGATCCTCGATCGACGGCGAACCTGTTCCTGGACGCGACTTGCATCGGGGAGAAGATAATCGGCGGGGAGGATTGCTTCATCCTGAAGCTGGAGACGAGCCCGGCGGTGCGAGAGGCTCAGAGCGGTCCAAACTACGAGATCATACACCACACGATCTGGGGGTACTTCAGCCAGAGATCGGGGCTCCTGATCCAGTTCGAGGACTCGAGGCTTCTGCGGATGCGGACCAAGCAAGACGACGACGTTTTCTGGGAGACGAGCGCCGAGTCGGTGATGGACGATTACAGGTACGTCGACAACGTCAACATCGCCCACGGCGGACGTACATCCGTGACGGTTTTCCGGTACGGAGAGGCGTCGGCGAACCACCGGAGACAGATGACGGAGAAGTGGCGCATCGAGGAGGTCGATTTCAACGTATGGGGTCTCTCCGTTGATCATTTCCTTCCTCCGGCCGAATTGAAGATCGGAGAATGAGGGTTTTGGTAATAGATCAGACTGAGAATCAGAAGTTTTTTGGATTTCGAAGAATGCAATCGTTTAGGGGGTTAGCGTGAAGAGAGGTTTTAGGGTTCAAACCAAATCCGTGAGTTCGATGCCTTGCCTTCGATTATTTTGGCTTCCCCCAATTTGTCGAGAAACACGAATGTTCTGTCGGCGAAAGAATCCAACTTTAATAATTTTGACATAAATATCAAATTATACTTGCATGAATATTTTTTTGTCGGCATTCACAATAAGTTGTAAGTGCATTCACATGAATATATACATCACTTCATGATTAAATGGGTCGAAGAGCCATTAAAATTGTAAAAAAAAAAAAGAGTTGCAAGTGCAACAATGAGTTGTGGTATTATTATGCGCATATAAAAAGTAGGCATGGGTTACATTTTTCCTTATGGCAAATTTATTTACTCTAACAAGAGTTTGTAGAGCAAGGAGCAATGCCATTTTGGACCTCTGAAGAAATGTTACAAATTAGAATGCGATTATGTCAGGTCATAAATATAAAATTTGTTTGCCTAAAAGCATATGGAACGGAAGAAAAGAAAAGTATGCGCCTACTTACTTAGGGTGTTATATATATATATCGACGACATGTTCGGTGATTTTCCTTCGCTCTCTCAGATTTTGCAACCCGAATTTCTGTTTCAGTTTCGGCGCCAATGAAGGATGGCGATACCCTTCCCATAAGCAATGCCGCTTCGACGGCGGGGAATGCGAAGAAGGACGCCGGAGATTCGGCGTTGTTCGGGAAAGGTCGCTACAAGTTTTGGGCCTTGGCTGCGATTCTACTGCTCGCCTTCTGGTCAATGTTCACCGGCACCGTGACTCTCCGGTGGTCCGCTGGAAACCTCAATCGATTCTCCGACGACTTCGACTCCCCGATCCACGAGGATCTCGATGTTCTCGTGAGTTCCTGTTTTCGCCGTCTCCGTGATCTTGTTTTCTCGTTTCGTTTTTTTTTTTTTGCTCAGTCGATTGGGGTTTGGATTTGGGAGTAGGAAATGGAGGAGAGGGAGAAGGTGGTGAAGCACATGTGGGATGTGTACACCAATGGCCGGAGGATCAGATTGCCGAGGTTTTGGCAGGAGGCCTTCGAGGCTGCTTACGAAGAGCTCAGTAGCGATGTTCCTGGCGTAAAAGAGGCCGCCACTACGGAGATCGCCAGGATGTCCGTTCGCTCTGTTGTCATAGATCCTCCTCCGGCTCATTCAACGGTGATGCTTTACTGCTAAATTTGATTTCTAAGTTGCTTTTGCTTTGCTCCTTTTATGTCCTCGACTTGGCTGTCCACTGAATGCATTAGATTTTTAGGGTTGGGGCCATGATTCCCTTCGTGTTTGAGTCGATTATACACGGGTTTGAAGCTTTTCCCTTCAGCTTGAATTGGAAGATAAAGCTTGATATCAGTATCCCCATCGGATACTCCTGAGAGATTGATTGCCAACTAGTAAAAAAGGGATTGCCTTTACCAGAAATCTTAATGCTGTACAATCCTAATGAGCTGGTTGATGGGTTTGAGCTTTTACCAGCGCACCAAGAGCTCCTTTAGGAGATCTGTAGATTATGTGCAGGCCAGTTTACCTTAGCCTGAAGAAAGGTTATTTCGGCATCGAGTTGATTAGGCATGGCTTCCGTCTTAGTCGAGAAATCCGGCTAACTAGAGGAGGGATGGATGGAGTTTGTCGGTCTGGATACAATCTGTTATCAAGTCTCTAGCATAGATTCAGCCCGTATTAATCCATCTTGATCCGCTAACACTACAAGCTTTTTTTCTTTTTTTTTTGCCATGCTATCCTTTTGAACATTGAGATCTGATATGCCCAAGTGTGTTGTTTGGTCAATTGCTTTTGACAATATTTCTGAGATTGGCCATAGGATCTAATGGATATTGACTAGGGAAGGCAACCTTGTCATGGATGTCTCTCTTTCATCTTTCAGCCTTATTGAGCCAGTTGGTTAAGAGTCGATGTCATAGTTCTCAGGTCCCTGTTCTGTAAGACTGTAATTTTCACTTTAGGATGCTCTATAACAAGACAATTGATCTTGGGTTTTGACCAAGAATTGACGTGCAGAGGCACATTATACACTTGAAAAGCGTGTGTGCTAACATTGTCCGTGTCTGCATTCATGTCGCAGAACGTACGAGAATTGGCGAAGACTCTAAGACTTGCGGACAAAGGAGGAGTTGTCCAAAATCCGGAACCAAACAGCCATCTCTCCAGAATCTTCTGATCGATCTCCCTTCGCTTTGCCGCTGGTTTGTCGAAGGGGGAAACACAGAGGTATATACTTCATGCCCAAAAGATAAAACGTGACCAGCAATGCCCATGTCTAGTGTGGTTTTTTTCTTCAAACAAGGGCATAAATCGTCGTTATAGGGATTATGCGATACAAAAATTTTCATTTTTTTGCGTTATTCTGCAAAGCTGATTTTTATTTTCTTTTTGTATGAAATAAAAAGGTAAAAGAGTGATAGGTTTTTGAGCATTATAACGTAGTTTTGTTGTCCATGTGAGTAACACGGGCTCTAAGAGATATAATAAGCCCATTAATCTTATTACATTGGGCTTGGGCCAATCTTCTGCTACTTTGTATGGTCGTAGTCAGTGGAATGCTTTATTCGTATTTGAAAAATCTTTTATTGTTTTTGAAGATTCATAACAAAACGAGGTACATGAATGGAAGAGAGAATATTAAAATGATGAAAGCCCGAGAAACATACATTATTTATTTTATTAAAAAAAAAAAAAAGGCAAAAGCATGCGTGCAATTGGCGAAAAAGCCCATAAACCTTTGCCCCCCCTCTATCTTTTGTTTTTTGCAGCATATAAATATATATATATATATCATTAAAAAAGAGGTTTCCGACATATCAGATAGAAAGAAGGGACATGAAATCTCCAGCATATATATATATGTGTCTTAGCATAGTAAGATAGCAAAAGAAATAATTTGTTACCATACACACCACACGCACATATCTAATTTAGTAACAAAAGATAAAAATTAAAATAACAGATACCCCATTGACTACTGATACAGTGATACACGGCTTTCGCTTTCCATTTTCATAAACATTCATCTCATGAAATGCAAATTTCTCTTCTTTTTGGGGCGGAGCCTAATTCCTCTCAAGTAACTCCGTAAATAAGACACTTTGCTAAGGGCTAAACTGTAAATTCGTGTTTCCCGCCCAACAGATGCTAGTATGGAGGAAAAAGAAGTATTTCTGCCCATCTCGCCCCGTTTTAGAGCAGCGGAGTCTTTTGGTGTTCTCCCGTGGGTTCCTCCAGCGGCTCTCTCTCTCTCTCACTGCTTCCTTTTCCTATGGTAGTTCTTCGCTCCGACAGGTTTTCCTCTTAACTCTCGATTATTTGCTTTCCCTGTGTTTCCGACGTTTTTCTGGATCATCTTGTGTCGGGAACCGCTTCCTCGGTTTTCTTTCAAGATTTGTGGGGGGGTTTTTTATTGTTCATTTTGTGTTTCTCAGTCGTATCTAGGTTTTTCGAAGACGAAATTGTTGTTTTCCGCTGTCGCTTTTTTTTATTTGTCCTCTTCTCGGAATTCCTAGGGTTTCGGGAATGGCCGACGAGAGCAAAACGGAGAAAGATTCTTCCGCTGGCTCACCGACTTCCGTTCTCAACGACAAGGTTTGCTCTTTCTTCCTTTTTCTCCTCTTTCACTACTCTTTTGTTCACTCGCCTTTGTTTACGCGGGTCTGCTCACTTTCTCTAAACCGTTAGTAAACAAGGTATATCGGATGCTTGTAGTAGACAACTACAAACTGCTGAATGTTTGCTCTTATTTTTCTGTTTAATTTCTTGCGCTCTTCCCCCCTTTTTTATGAAGGAGAAGTGGAAAATATACAAGTTTCAAATTTCAAGTAACGTTTTTGTTTTGCTTTCGGCTGTCTGGTTTTTCTATTGATGATGTTTTCGTACCTAACTCGGGATTGTCTCTCTGTGAAGGACAAATGTGAGGAGAAAAGTATAACCGGCGGGGATGAAAATATACTTAATGCAAAAGAAGGAGATGCATCTCTTGTACCTGAAACGATGGCCAAGGAAGAAGAACAGCTGCTGAAAGCTCGGGAAGATGAAGAGAGGGACAATGGCATAGGGTCAGTAGAAGCACCTCAGCTGGATGATAACCAGTTTACCAAACTGGATGAGCTCTTGACCCAAACCCAGCTTTACTCGGAGTTTCTTCTTGAGAAAATGGAGGATATCACGGTTGTAATCTGTGGTCTTGTTCTGGTTGATTCTTCGCCTGTGGAGTAAGAGTTCTTTATTAATCAAGCTTGGATATTTTTGTTTCCAGAATGCTGTTGAGGTCCAGAACGCTGAGCCTGAGAAGAAGGGTCGCAAAAGAAAGACTGCTCCTCAGTATAACAATGTGGTTTCATTTTCGACTTTAGCTACCCTGATATTGACAATTTTGTGATTTTTTACTTATTTTATATCACCTGCTTATTTGTAACTTCCACTTACCGTGAATTTTTGGATGTTTTTTTTTTCCAGAGGAAGGCCAAGAGAGCTGTTGCTGCAATGATCAGTAGATCTAAACAAGGTGATGAAGTCTCTGACTTGGACCTGACTGAGGAAGAAAGAATGGAAAAAGAGCAGAAAGAACTAGTGCCACTTCTGACCGGTGGAAAGTTGAAATCTTATCAGCTCAAAGGTGTTAAATGGCTTATATCATTATGGCAAAACGGCTTGAATGGAATCCTAGCTGATCAGATGGGCCTTGGAAAGACGATTCAGGCAATTGGTTTCCTGGCGCATCTGAAAGGAAATGGGCTGGATGGTCCATATCTAGTAATAGCTCCTCTGTCTACTCTCTCAAACTGGGTGAATGAAATCTCTAGGTACTCCCTTGTCTATGATGTTTATTCAGATGTTGTTTTGGTTGTTGTTTCTAAATTTTCTTTATTAATGTTTAATAGGTTTGCGCCCTCCTTGAATGCAATCATCTACCATGGAGATAAGAAACAGAGGGATGAGCTGAGGAAGAAGCACATGCCCAAAACTATCGGACCAAAGTTCCCTATAGTTGTTACTTCTTATGAGGTTGCTATGAATGATGCTAGAAAATGTCTGCGGCACTATGCATGGAAATATGTTGTCATTGATGAGGTAAGTTCTGAAGTTAGATTATCAATCTCTGCAATTGAGTTGGGAACATCACAATGTTCCTTCTTTCTTATCCTATATATATTTTTATTCTATAGGGCCACAGGTTGAAGAACCACAAGTGCAAATTGTTGAAGGAACTAAAGCACTTGAGGATGGATAACAAACTTCTGCTGACAGGCACACCTCTGCAGAACAATTTGGCAGAGCTATGGTCACTATTAAATTTCATTTTACCCGACATTTTTGCTTCGCATGCAGAATTTGAATCATGGTATGAATATAGTCTATATCGGCCTTTCTAATGTCCAGTGACTTTTCTTGCTGGCAAATGTCGTTGCTTCTTTTCCGCGTAGATTCCCATTCACGTTCCATCTGATGGAGTGTATTCTTGCCAGGTTTGACCTATCTGGTAAGAGTGCCAATGGAACAAACCAAGAAGAAAGAGAAGAGACGAGAAGGGCTCAGGTATGCACCTCCAGTGATTGCATGATTAATTTCACAAAACGTTTTTCATTGTATAGAACTCTGACATTTGGGTTAAAATCATTTCTAGGTTGTGGCAAAACTTCATGCTATACTACGTCCATTCATCCTGCGGAGAATGAAGAGTGATGTAGAACAGTTACTTCCTCAGAAAAAGGAGATTATTATTTACGCTACATTGTCTGCTCATCAGAAAAAATTCCAGGATCATCTTCTGAATCACACACTGGAGAAACACCTTCTAGAGGATGCTGTGCCGGGTAAATAGTCCTGCAAGTACTCTTATACTCGGTTATGTCATTGCTGCTTAGTCTGCATGCGTGGAACATTTCAGGCCGTGGCATAAAAGGTAGACTTAACAACCTGATGGTTCAACTTCGGAAGAACTGCAACCATCCTGACCTTCTGGAGTCACAGTTTAATGGGTCATGTATGTCTCTTGCATTTAATAAATCCGTGAAAATCTCTGTTTGGTAAATGTGTGTAATTTTATTCCGTCCTCTTTTCACCTTGACAGATCTCTACCCTCCTGTTGAAGAAATTGTTGAACAGTGTGGGAAATTCCGCTTACTGGAGAGATTGCTTGTTCGGTTACTTGCCAGAAATCACAAAGTATGTTCTACAGGTCATAGCTCATACCTTGTAGCCATTGCAAATTGCTTGTTTAATGTTTCTTTTCCTTCTGAAACCAGGTTCTGATCTTCTCCCAATGGACAAGAGTTTTGGATATTATGGATTACTACTTCAGTGAAAAGGGCTTTGAAGTCTGCAGAATTGATGGCAGAGTGAAACTGGATGAAAGGAAGAGACAGGTTGGCTCGGGCCTTAGTTATATATGTTCACAATCTGCCACATAGTTAAGCTATAAAAAACAGATAGATCGTATAGTATATAGCCACTGAAGAATATGTTCTCACTTCTCTCTTGTAAAACAGATCGAGGCCTTCAACGACAAGGAGAGTGACTGTAGGATATTTCTTCTCAGCACCAGGGCTGGCGGTCTGGGTATCAACCTAACTGCAGCAGATACATGTATACTCTATGACAGCGACTGGGTAATCAATCATTACTGTATCTGATTTTGTACTCCTGTACACGCATTTTCACATTGTCATTAACATGTTCCATCTATTCTCCAGAACCCTCAAATGGATTTGCAGGCCATGGACAGATGCCACAGAATCGGTCAGACAAAGCCAGTTCATGTTTATAGGCTCGCCACAGCTCAGTCGGTTGAGGTAATGTTGTGTGGTGGCTTTCTAGCTTTTTCTTCTTCTTCTACCATTCAGTCAGGAGAGTATTGGCGTTGTTGTACAGGGGCGCATCCTCAAAAGAGCATTTAGTAAGCTTAAGCTTGAGCATGTGGTGATTGCGAAAGGACAGTTTCATCAAGAGAGAGCTGCTAAGTCATCAGCATTAGTCGAGGTTTGTTTGCTTACTTGCCAAAACCCTTTTCTCAGAAGATTGTAGATGATCATGGGGAAAAAACAACAGGAAGAGGACATTATGGCATTGCTGAGGGATGATGAAACCGAGGAGGATAAACTAATACAGAGGGACATAGGAGACGAGGATCTGGAGCGGCTGCTGGACAGGAGTGACCTCGTTGGTTCGGTCACAGAAGGAGCCTTTCCCCTAAAGGGTCCTGGCTGGGAAGTTGTCCTTCCCACCTCTGCTGGTGGAATGCTGTCAACTCTCAACAGCTGATTCCTGTTTTTTTTTTGTTTTTTGGAACAATTGAAGCAGAGAAGAGGAGAGAGCCTTTAGGTTATTTTTTGTTTTTTGAAGGCAGCTGCTGCTCTCTCGTTAAGTTAGGGCCCTCTGGTGTTTTTTTTTTTTGGGGGGGAGAGGGGGCAAATCGCGGATGGAATGGTATGATATGATCGGTTAATGGAGAAGAATGTTCCTATTTCTGTTCTATTCTTCAATCTTTAATCTAAACCTGATTTTAGGATTTTAAAGAAATATATATGTATGTATGTATGTAGATGGAGAGCTGAACTTCTCTTGTCCCTTGAACTGAACTGGACTTCCCCTTGAGAGGTATACAAAGCAGCTTTTAATGTATCTTGTATTTTTGGTTTTATTATTTTATCTTTTGGGTTGTTATTTAGGGGACAAAAGTGTCGTCATCCATTCGACTCTTGTCATTTGGATTGAGCCACGAGAGCTTTACGAAAACACAAGAGGGAGCCCTTTCAATAGTTTGCGATAATCCACCATCATTCACCCTTTCAAGACGTTGATAGATGCCATTACCATTATATCTCCCTTCGCCTTACACATAAATCCTAATACGATACATAATTAATGGGTAAACTACGACGACCAAAGGTGGAAAAGCGAAGGGACCACAGCCGAAAGCCAAAGTTGTATGTTATTATGTTCTCTCCATGCGAACCCAAAGATTCCCCAACAACTCAACCTTCTCCTTCTTCTTCTTCTTCTTCTCCTCTCCCTCTTTTCCCTTGAAAAAAATTATCCCTTTCGTTTTTTTTTAATTAAAATAATTTGACCACAGTGAAATACAATTATAATCATTTGAAAATCGCATCACTTATGAAAAAAATGGATAATCTGTCTCCCTAATGTTTGCCATTAACGAAACATTCCCTTTTGTGTTAGTTAAAAATGTCTTACTTTGAGATTAGAAAAAAGCCAGAGACCAAATTCGATTTGTCTTCACTATTAGCTTCATGAGGGTTCCATTTCATGCTTTGTCTTTTTTTTTTTTTTTTGATATAAGGTTTGTCTCTTTTTATATATATATATATTTTCCATATCCATCATATATATATATATATATATATATATATATTATGTAATGACTCCAACTCTCAAGTCTCAACTCAGTCTCTCTTTACACGCACATTGGATTTGTGGCTTACGCGTCAATAGCAATCAAATAGGTACCATCACAAAAATCGAATGCTATACACCTCTTTGTATGTACAACTTTCCACCGGAACATCATGCAGTAATTTTCACATTTCACCGCCTCATGAACAGAAAACTTCACAACTAATTCAATACTGAAACCCTAGTAAAAAAAGAACAACTTGTTGCTGTGATTTCTTATATACTTTTCTTTTGACATCATCATTCGAAGATGAGGTAAAAGACGAAAAAGAGGGAGAGGGTAAAAAAATTGGCGAGCAGGACAATCCATAAAACAAAAGGTTCTAACGCCATCATCATTCGTGCATGAAAATAAAATCAAACCGTTTGCTTATTTTTGTAATACAAATGTGAGTATAGCGGTCCAAATATGCATATATACATATACATATACATATGTGTGGGTCAGAGGGGGCAGAGTGTTATATAGTCAAATAAGAGTTGGATAGATAGAGATGAGCCGTGCGTGAGCAATCATTTGAGTTGCAATCACATATATATATATATACACATATATTTTGCAATAGTCTCAGTGGTGGGGGAGGGAGGGAACCATTCTTCTTATTCTATTTTATTTATTTTGAAGTCCCTCGTTTCTTCTCTTTCTTGCTTCAACGCCCTAATACTTTCCATCTCACCTAAAGTCTTTATCTCTCTGTCGGTGTTTTGGGCCCCCGATTATACGAGAAGGGCATTCCTTCTCTTTTGTTTTTGGATACATAATTCTACTGGAGTTTTTATTCCAAAAACATTAAAATGGTAGAATATTAACATCCATATTAAATACTTTTGTTTTTCCCAAATAATGAAGAAATTCTAAATTTGAAAATAAATGGTGTGGGAAAGCGCGAGGGCATAAAGAAGGGTTTGACTTGTGGGTGATGGTGGTGGAAGAGGAAATGCTAAAGCAGAGAGGTGGGTGAGGGCATTTATATCACAGACTCACTCTTGTCACACATACCACGTGTCACTTTCTTCCCCCGTTACGGCAATCATTGCCGCCGTTACGGTCCCCTCCCACCCGCACGAGTGCCTTCCGTTTTTCCTTTTCCTTTTATTTTTATTTATTCAATCTCCCTCTCTCTCTCTTTTCTACTTTTATTTTTATTTTCCTTTTATCATATCCATCTGATTTTGTTTCTAAACTGATTTTACTTGAAAACTGATACTAAAATACGGTGAATTTCCCAAGCCAAAAATTTTTATGTGGAAATAAACTGGAGTTCATTGTATATATATATTAAAAGGTCATGTAATGCGACAACAACGGTGACCAATTTTAACAACGATTCATACCCATAAAGTGTCCATGAATTAATTTATTATTCTACATATACATATATACATATATATATTCTCCAGTAATAACAAATACATAGTTTCTTTTTCTAGTTTTTATTATCATTAAAAAAGATAATGAATAAAAAGGCATGTGAAATTCGGGGAAAGCTGGTAGAAGAGCAAATGCACGTGAAGAGCAATAATGTATACACATGGATCTGCCCAAAGTATCCTCCATTATTTCTCCTGAATTTTTCTTAATTTAATTATAATTGTAGTTTTATAGCATATTGGGAATTCAGTTTCATAGTTATTAATTATAAATAAATTGAATCTATAAAAAAAAAAATCGATAACTGTTAGTTAACGGACCTTTTTAGCACCTATGTATCAATGTTACGCATCATTTTAAAATATTCCCAAATAGAGTGTATTTGTGTGTGTACGCTTAGAAACATTGTGTTTAAGTAGATGTATATATTTACGTATCACGATAGTGTTAGCGCGCGAATAGTATTTACACCCCGTGACCGTACATTGTTTCATATTTCTGGGTTTCAATATACATATATACATGTGCAGTTTTCACTACCTTATGTATTTTTGCTCACACGATGCTATGTATATATACGTGGACAATGGTCCGTATGTAAAACCATATATACATATATATATATATATATATAGTGGAAACTACATGAATAATCTCTCCCAATCTTGGCATGTTCTAGTCAAACGAGCGTTAAAGAGTGGGGGATCAACTATAACTATGGAAGAAGCATTAAATAATTATTTTGTAATTTTCTACCAATTAAATGTTATTCAACGTCATAATGTTTGCCAATGAACGAATGAATGATCGTAATGCAATATTGTTTGTATTCGCATAAAAAAAAAATTATGATATATTTTTGTGGTACGTTAAACTAAAGAATAAAGAGGCTATAAATGAACATAACAAAACGTGAGAAAAAGGCGATAGATGATATGATAATATCAAAATGACAACCAAAAGGTCGGGGAATAATGGTCCCTTGCCAGCTTGAATCCCTAGCGGCCTCATCTCTTCTTCTATATTTTATTATTCATAATCTCAGTTTTTTCCTTTTTCTCCGCACCAAACTTACTACACATAATTGCTGCTATTTATCTTTGAATAAGAAGATATCACAATTTCAGTGTATGCGTGGTTATATACACACACGCGTAACATAATATATACTATTATATAATATAATACATATTGTATTCCATCCAGACGCGAACATCTTCCGGGTTACCATATCGAGGAGCTCTACGACTGTGAAACCCCCCCCCCCCCCCC